TTGCGTTCAATTTATGGGTGAAATTATCCACTGGCCGGGAGAATCGGCTCGTGAAGATTTGCTGAGCTGTGGAAATAAATGGAGATCGGAGATATCGGGTCGCGATCGCCATTGGTTGGCCGGCATCAGAGCCCCGACTCGGACAATTGAATTAGAAGCGCTGAGCAGCAGGACTCATGAATGGGCCGGGAAACCGAAGTGAAGCCGCCTCAAGACGGGGGCATGAGATCAGCAAGTTCGAGGCAGGCCAACCACTGAACCTATTTTCTCACCTGTTAAGGTTGTAAAGACTCGAAAACAACAATTTATCGCTGTCGAGATCGTCGCCTGCCGCTCCTCGAGAGCTGAAGCCCCTTCGATTGACTTGGGACTTGGGACATGGGACATGGGCCCATGGGGAACTCCATCGCCATCTACATCTCCTCATCGGACTTCGATTGCATTTGGGATTGGGCAGCGTCATACGATTTAATTGCTTCGATTGTGTCAGCAGTTTTGTGTGGATGTGGCCAACGGCGAGCGGACACATGTATCCATGTAGTACATGTCTTCATCGGCGAGCATTCGCTGCGGAAGGGGGCGTTTTGTGCAGCTCTCCTCCAGCTCCGCTCATGGGCGCTCAATAATTTGATGATCATAATCAATGCCCCTTGACTGACATTCGCTGCCGCTGCCTCGTTTCCCGCCCAACTTTGCTTTCTTTTCGGCACTTCCAAACGCAACAAAAGGCGCACAAACTTGTTGAAAGCCGTTTGATCCTTTTGACGAGGCGCTGCTCCATTGATCCTCCGGCGCAGATGACCTGGCCGAAAGTCAAGTGTTTGTGCAGCCGCTTGAAAGGAAGCCGTCCATTTGTCCTTCTCCCCCTTTTTGGCCAGACGATCAGGATAACAAGGCCGCGGAGCAGAGCGTGGGAGTGTCGGATCCACTGCCCTTCACCGATGTTCATCGATGTTTTCCGATGAGTAAGGAAGTCTGTTTGGAATCCATTTGGGCGCTGACTGTTCTGCGTTCTGTGATTTCTATTTCGTATCTGCTTCTCCAGCTTTAATGCTCGAATCGCATGCGTAGGTTTTCTATGACGATTAAAACCCTCATATGTCAACTCGGCCCATTCATCATCATCTGCCAGCTGGGACGCAGACAGACGCAGAGGTAGCAAACAGTCGCCAGACACTTGGCTGATGAGCTCAAATCTCATCAAGAAGTGTCTGGCTGGCGGTTCGCAAGCATATATCTCTGTCTCTCTTGATTTTGGGGAACTTACAGCACCTACTTCAGCCCAGCCCGGTCTGGCGTGATGACTTAATTTTCGTTTCAGCCTCCACTGACAGAAATCAAAGGCGGCCTAAGACGGCCATCCCCACTAGTAACCTCTGCTCGGCTGCCCCTGTTTCTCTCAGTGCTCCCGGGGCACCTTTAACCCGGCCCGATCAGGTGCCTCTGCCTTTGGCTCTGTTCGCTGGGACTCCAGTCGAGGATGGAGCCGGAGCCGGAGCCAGTCGACTACTTGAGCGTCACCGCAGTGACACACGCAAGTGCTTGGCCTGTCGCTGGTGTACGATCCCCTGGAGCCTCCTCCTCCTCCTCCTCCTCCTCCTCCTCCGCTGAAGAGTCCGGAGTAACCCAGGAACCCTCGTCATGATGCAGCGCTTTTCGGGGCTGAGAGGCCAACAGCTAGTGAAGTTGTTGCCTGGTTAGGAGCTGCCGTTGACTACGAGTATTTGCTGTAATCATTATGGTAGCGCCTGAGCCCTGCACTCGGATGATAAATCTATCTTTTATTAGCATTTCAAACACTCCAACGAGTTGCACGTGTTGCGCTGCCCTGAGTGAGTTGTTTTGGCCCGGCCTAATCCCAATTAAAACCACATTTTTCATCGATCCGACCGGGATTCAAGTGAAATCGTTAATGAGCGTGTAAAGTTTTGGTCTTAGGCCGGATTTGTGTGGAGCACGAGTTCGGGGTTCCTGGTTCGAGGGGCAGGCGGAGTCCGTTTCCTGGGTGTCGTATATAAATCGCGTGCTGCACTGGAGGTCTTCAAAACGCTTACGAGTTGGTGCCCCGGGGCCAGGGCACTGCCACAGCCACAGCAAGAGCCACAACCACGACCACGACCACAGCCCAAGTCCAAGTCAGAGCCTCATCATCGGCATCCGACTCTTGCTGGGCTGTCCCTGCCCCCCATTCATTTGGCCTGGGTGTTGACCAGTCTCGGACTGCGCCCGGGGTCATCCTGCAGCTCCTGTCTTCCCTTCGAAAAAAAGAGAGAGACCTGGGCTAATGATGAGCCAGGCAGCCTGCTTTCGGTGTTTTCAGCTGGCTGAGTTCCGAGGTGGTACGAGTGTTTGGCCAAAACAAGATTGATTTCCTGAAATCGAAACCTTGGGACGAACTGCGAAGCCAGAGACACGCAAGGGGCCCAGATCGCAGTGATAATGATGTCGAGAGCCAGTTTTTCTCGCTTCTTTTTTCGGGTATGGGGTGGTGTGGCCATATCATGGTCCGAGGTCCGAGGTCTGCGTCCCCTTCAGCGAAATGCAAAAACAAATTGTTTGTGGGTCAGCCAGGCGAGGGGCAGGGCCTAACAAGAGCAGGGGGATGAGGAGGAGTTGGCCATGGGGGCGTTACGTTGTTTCAAGGAATTCAAGGGAAACAGAAACAGAAAAAGGATAAGGATGAGGATGAGAATGAGGAGCCTGCCCGGAGGCGGGGAACGACCTCGTCTGGGGCTCTGGCTCTGTCTCTGTCTCTGGACTCCATCTCCATCTCCATTTTTTCCAGGAGACAGCACACGGAAGCCTAATGCCGGCCATGTGATTTGTGATTTGTGCTTTTGGGCTCGGTCTGTTGGGCTGCGGTTTCCTTGGAAAACGCGCCATTCTAGGCCTAACTTCTGGCAATGACAAAGCGCTGACCGCTGACTGGAGCAGCAGCAGCAGCAGCAGAAACTGCACGGCAGCAACATCAGCGGCACACCAGCAGCATGCTAATTTATGAAGTAGCAACTTGCAGCGACATGGATGCAGTAATTATAGCTTGGCAACTTGTTGCCAGCCAGGCCCAACTGCATGAATGGAAAGAAAGCCAGGCCAGTTTGCTGTTTTCCATGCTAAACAGAAGCTGTTCTACTGCAGCAGCAGCAGCAGCGGCATCAGGTGAACATGGACGTGGATGTGGATGTGGACGTGAACGCGCCCACTCGGTTAGTCCGCCGGGCGGCAAAGAGAACAACAAACGGCTAAGACAAAACACAGGAGGTCACCTTGGAAAGGCGAAGCTCTCGATACTCTATCTAAGTTTCAAATTATGTCTAATAAGGTTAATGGATTAGGTTGTAAAAAGTCAAATTGAATCTAGTATAAAAACTATAAGTATAATAACATTCTAACTACAAGATTAACATCCTTTTTAAAATCAAGCTTACGAGTTCACATTTGTAAAGAGCAAAATAACACAATCACTTATTTATTATTCATATAAATTTAAACATAACTGCTTTATTAAGAATCATTTTCAGCCAAATAATGAATATGGTAACAAATATGGTTCTCAGGTGAAAAATGTATATAAAAACCTTTTACCAATTCGTGTAAGTATCTGTCATAATATTGAGCTTGGAAAATAATTGGGTGACTCTGAATATGATTGGCCTTTAAAATTTTTATTGTATGTTTACAAGTTGAGCTTTAAAGTCGGGCTTAAACGTAAACACCCCAAGTTAGGGTATCGCAAAAACTGGCTCAAAAAAGCTAAGAAAAAGGTCCTACCCCGTGGCGTTTTGGCTGTTGATGGGTTGGCTCTGCTGACTGCTTGGCAGCGGCAACAGCAACATGCGGCATGCAGCAACATAGTTTACACACCTACCAAGGCGGCAGTCGAAGTCGAAGTATAAGTCGAAGTCGAAGTCGGGGGCTGGGCTCCGTCTACCGAACCCTCTGGCCAGCAACATGCACTTAACTGGTAGCCGCAATGCACTTTATAATACCCGGGAACATGGCTCGCATCTCTGGCGGGGAGTGGGTTTCTGTATCTGTATCTGCCCCTCCTCGCAGCTTGATAGATGCTGCTGCCTCGGACTTCCCGGAGCGATCTACCAGGGGGCGTTGCTGCTGTGCTGCAGTGCAACATTGGTGGATAGAAGTGCAGCAGCCGCACCGTTAACTGACTTGTGAGCTTGGGCCTCATTTGCATCGGGCCATAAACTCGGTGGCCCAGTTCTCTGCGCACTAACCCGAATCTGAACCTGAATGCGAATCCGAATCCAATTGAGGCAAACTCTGAGCCGGCGCTAGGCAGCGACCTTGGATTAGCCAAATCCGTTCATTTCCGACCCTTCCCTTCCTCTAATCCCTTCTTCCTGCAGGGCATCTCATTAGCCGCACCACCACCCACCCAGGTAAGGCAATACTGCAAGGGTTCGGAAGGTGTTTGCGGAGTGTACCAAAATACAATTAGCGAACTACGACAAATCTCTTTTTAATGCCGGCCTGGCAGCGGGGGTGTTCCGATTGAAATTGGAGCGTAGCCGAGGGAAGTGTGAAAAGTCGATGCAGAATTTCCGAAAACTGAGCAAGAGAAAGCAAAAGCAGAGGTAGACGAAGTCGGGAATTAAAAGCGCAGCCGCCTCTCATCATCATCAGCATCATCCTTAGCCTCGTCCACAAAACACTCACGCACACAGGGAATTAAGTTGAGTTCTGGGTTCTGAGTTCCCAGTTCTGAGTTCTGAGATCCCGGTTCCGAGACATTAAAGATGCCGACCGCTGCGGAGGACTCTGGATGTGGCGCCGGCCAGGGAGACAATATAAATCATATCACTCACACACAAAGGGCGCAGGAAGGGGAAAGCTGGCTCATCCCCTCCCGCGATCGCAGCCTTTGTTAATTAATTGTGCAGCACCGATATGGACACCTTTTTAGGGTCTGAATTTTCCTCAGAGCTCCGAGAGTCAAAGCAAACTTTGCATTTTTTGGAGGAGGGACCAAATTCTACAATATTGTTATACAATTCAGTGATCTTCCTATTCCTAGGGTATTACTCTGAAGTTGTTCCTCAGATCCATGACCTTAGGGATTGCCAGGAGATCGCTGTGGTTTCTGCTGCTGCTGCTGATCAGCCTACCAATGGGGAGAAACTGCGGTGGGGAGTACAAAACTGGACCACTACAGCACTGCTACCCCCACGAGGAGGTCTTCCCCGAAGTGGCACGGTGTCCATCCCACCAAAGTGTCACTGCCGAGAGGCTGCAACTGCCCTGGTGGTGTGCCCTCCTGGAGAGTCTCTTCCTGCTGCTGCTGGTGAAGCTGCTCCAGTTGTAGATGAGCCAACACCTCTCGGTAATTGCCGCTGATGTAAGCCAACAATGGAGCGGGCCAAGTGAAGGCGGCAAATGTCACACTTGCTGCTCATAAATCACATCGGAAACTGTTTTTCCCCGTTGCTCTTGCCACACATGATAATTTGTGATGGGCTTAGGTGATTCTAATTAAATTGTTCAAAATGTTTTCCAGCGCGCTTTTGGGCCTGGCGCTGGAAAATCGCTGACAAATGTTTCCGTCAAAACACAGAAAAAGTTTTCGTTTTGTTTTGTTAGAGTCCAGGCCAAATAGCACCCGCATGTGGCAGGGCACAGTGGTATTGGGCCTGTGAAAATTCGAGTGAGAGTGTATAGCTAAATATATTAAAAATAAATGTTGTAAACTTTACTAACAAAGCTTTAATAATAGAATACATATAGCCAAATAGAACAGGTACATTCCAAATATTCAAATTAAGATTTATCTAAACCCAGCTCTAAAAAGTTTCTAGGATCTGTTAAACATTCTAGATTTACCACGTTTAAATTGAAAATTCTAATACTTTTAAAATAAAGTTTAAGACCAGTTCTTGTCGCCACTGTCCACTTACTCGATCGGGTCAAAATCAACTTCCTCACCATTCCATGGCAAATTAAACTTCGCCTCAGAGAAGCTACCTTTTCCATTCAAATAAAACGAAACAGAACTACTGCTACGAGATAATTTAAAACGAATTAAAAGCGCAACCGTTTGAAACCTCCCGAACCCGAATAAAACCAAACCGAAGGCATCCAATTGAAAATAGCAACAAGTTAATTTGAGCAGCGCCCCTGCTCCATTCGCTCCTTTTGGAAAGTCATTAGAAAAAATGTCGAGTCGAGCAATTTGAATATTTCGATGGCAATGTACGCGACTCCGACTCCGCCGGTTAATTTAAGGTGATAATTGCTTTTTAATGTGACACAACTAAATTTTTCCCATTTACATACTGCACCTCTTGTTGTTGTGCCGGAAGTTTTTCGGGCCTGCGCATGTGCAGCCAAGAGGTATAAGGGGAGGGGTAGGCTTAGGGTAAAGGGCACCTGCGGGGCGGGGGCGGGGGCAGACACTTGTTACGTGGCTGGGACAACTACAACAACAACTGGCACCGCCACAACAATAATAAAGTGTCAACAATTATTTTCAAATTTCCAAACATTTCATTTCATTTTTGTTCGGTGTTAAGTTTTTTGATGTTTTTGGGGTTTTTGTTGATGCTCTGTGGCTGTTCCTTTCGAGTGACGCTGCTTAAAAGGTTCCCAAAGTGTGAAATTGCCGAATCCCAAGGGGAGTTGGAGAGATTTCAGGGGTGGTGTTCGACGAGCCGAAAGTTTGAATGTTAATCGAATGAGTTGAGAAGCGCGGGTCCAGAAATGTTGGCATTAACCCATAACCCATAGTCAACGCCCATAAATTCTATATGCAACCACATAAGCATACGTCAGTAAAAAATTTCCAACGCAGTGAAGGGCACATTTCCGACCATATAAAGTATATTTATTCTTGATCAGCATCACAAGGCGAGTCGATCTAGACATGTGCCTTGATTAAACTTCTAGGGTCCAAAACTTTACCAAATTTAAGCCACTTTGAGAAATAAGTTTTTATTTTTATAAAAAAAAGGGAAATAAAATAACCTTGCTGCAGTTTTAACAATTTCAGAATTATGGTTATAGTATTATAAAAATCAGACAACTATATCATATGGTTGCCATAAAAAGGACCAACAAATTTTCGGAAAATCCACCTATTTTTATTGTTTTGGGTCATCAAAATCAAAATATAGAATATTTAATTTTTGTAAAGTCCGCAAGGGTATTTAAAATTCGGCTTGCAGAATTTTGTTTCCGTTCTTGTCTTTATTAACAAACAACAAAAATTATTACTTGCGTTTAATCTCCTGTGAATCAAGTTTTTTGCTTAAGTCTTTTGTTTTGGTTCATTTTTGGTTTTTTAAGCAAAGTAGATTTCAAATGTAGGGAAGAATTGAAAGGTCTTAATACTTTAATTACCAATGCTTAAAGCATCATTTATTGACTTGACTTGACTTAATAGATTAAAGTAATACTATTTTACGAATCTCAGCGCAATGGAGCCATCACCATTCCAATGACTGAAAACTCAATCGAAATTCCTGGCTGGCGCGGCCAACCAGTTCCACTGCAGTCATTTTCCGGCCATTGTGTTTTGGTGGCTAATTGGCGCTGTTGGAATTTGTGTCCCAGTGCCAGATGGAACCAAATCCAAACGAGTCACGCGTGGTCCGCGCCTCGTTCGCCGGCGAAGAACCACAAATCCTAGGATTCAATGAATACATCAACACTCAGAGGAGCTGGGCCGTTGGCCTGGAAATTTATTGGCCCCGTCAGTGTCGGTGCTGCCAATTAACGCCAGGATGAGAGCCAACTGCCGAGCGTGGAGACGTAGCCACCAGCGTCGATCTTTGAAGGCAGCCGCCTGGAAGTGGAAGTGGCTCAAGAGGGCGATGAAGTCGTTGGCTCTGCTGGAGTCGTAAACTCTGATTTATTTCGAATTGAATGTCAATACACACAGACCCAGTGGGCTCCATGTGGGTCCGCATTCGGCTCGAAAAGCGGAGCTCTGGCTCTGGCGAACCGCAGGCGGTCCTGACCCAATTTGGCGCCTGCTGAGGCGCTTTCATTAGCCTCCTCGTACATCATAAACAGATTCATAAACTGCCCCGTCCCCCCACCGCGTTGCACTTCGCGGGGCTCCACTGCTCTCGTTTATGGCGTTGAAAGGCGCATCGAATGGTCCGCGCTCCTTTCAGGTGAGGTTTCCCCGTTTCCGAGGTGAGGTCAGCCTGCAGTTTGATTTTCGCTAGCCGGGGACCATGAATCCCGCACCCCAAACCAAACCACTCACCCCCGATCCGGACTCATTAAAATGTAATTTGAGCGCCTTGCCTCGCATTTCATTTGGCTGGAGCGGAGACGGTCAAGTGAGCGGGCCATCAAATGTGGCTCGGAGTCAGTTTCCATTTCATTGAGTCGGCCAACTGCTCGACAGCAACCCCCAGAAGCTAGCTCTCTGGCCGGCGGGTGCCGTCTCTTTCTGGCCTGGACTCGGATTGATTTATGCTGTTTCGCTCGCACAAGGGTTCACTCGTCCCGTCATTTGTGGCACATTATTATTTAAATGATAAATTGTATTTGGCCGGGAACTTTGGTCGTGGCTTGCAGTTTCGTGGGTGTTTCCGTGCGCTTTCCCCTTCGATTCCTTTTCCCGACTCGTGGGCGTTCTGGCTGTTCGTTTCCAGTTTTCCGTTGATTTTCTTTGGCCGGCTCTTCTTCTTGGGTTTTCTTGCCCGAAAATTAATCGTCTCATTTGTCCAAATGCCCGCTCTTGGCTTTAATTTGGGAATTAATGTTGTTTGGTAATAAATTCGATTTGGCTTCCGTATTTGCTCGCTTCTGGAAGTGATTTCTTGGCCAAGTGAGATATCAAAATGGGAAAAGCTTAGAGGCTTGCGTTTCTTCCTGTTTGCTTATGGCTTTCAATGTAATCAAGTGGCATTATGGTAATCTCTTTAATAATGAGAAAATCCAATAGATGGGGATGGTCACAGGTTTTGGGGGTAAAAAAAAGTAGGACTAGGTCAACAGGAAAGTTGGCGAGATAATTGTTCATTAGCCTAATTTGTTGTGGCACATAATGAACCTTATAAAAAGATGTTTATATTTGGGATTCATAAATCTGAATCTTAGAACTTAAAGACTTGTACAAATTTCTTCGGCTCAGATATATAATTGTCCTCTTATAAATAAGGATATTATGAAAATATTTGATTTGATATATTATGTAAATCATAACTCAACTATAACTGAATAAATTTAAAAGCCATTACATTTAGAGCTGAAAATGTAATACATAATCTTGTTTACTGAATCCATAATCGTGACTTATAATTTTATTACACTTTTAAAAGCACTTTATTAGTTGGCAAGCATTTAAAGTATTTATTCGAAAAACCCATTCATTTTGAATACCTCTAAATAAATTCTAAGAGCCACTAAAATAAACGATTTTAATAGTAGGTATGCTATTACACTGTTTTAAGCTGAATAATCCATACCATTATCGATACCCTATATCTGATTTATCTATGTCGCGGGTTCATCTGCGACAAGTTGATAAATTAATTCGCCCGGCTGATTGACTTGCAAACGTGTTTGTTTGACATATTTGCACGTGTCTCGTGTGGCTGTAATTTGATTTTGATTTATGGCCAATTAATCGCGGCCCAAGAGGGGCACTCGTACACACACTGCCCTGTTCAGACACACACACAGTTGAGGCGCCTTAGTGGGAAAAGAAACAGTAGCTGCCGCTGAACTCGGTCTAATCATAATTTGCATTTAATAAATATTTCATTAAGTAATTGCAACAATTACGTGCATTTGAACCGTTCCCCTTAAATTAGTGCAGCGCTGCCGGCCAGGTCAGTACGGAAAGTTGCAGCAGAGCCGATCGAATCCAGTCCGGACGAGGGATTAACATTTCAGTCGGATCAGGCGCACAATTATCGCCGGATTCTCGATATATAGTTTATTTTTATAAATAAACTTTATTCGGTTTTTTGTGGCACTCTGGTTCTGGTTAATTGCGCCGCTGCGACTCATGAATATGCATATTTTCCACTTTTAGCGGAAATCCTTCTCAGGTGACAACTGCCTCGTCCGCCGAGGGGCGGGCGGGGGAGAAGGGCGACCGCTTTACCGCCGCTCCGACTCGAAAAGGTGGAAATTCCGCTGTTCTCTCCGGTCTGCGACTTTGTCTTGTGAATGAAAAACTCCGCTCGAGTAAATGGCTTGTGTCGCTTGGCCCAAAGCCACAAAGCGACATTATGTTGCTGAAAGGACGCCATTTTGAATTGGACCTGCGCGCGCTCTCCGCTCTCCATTGTTACGCTCAAGGGGGCGTGGCGTGAGAGGTTTCGCTCTCAGCAGGGGGCGTGCTGGGTGCACGGGTATGCGTTTACGTGTGCAAGTGCAAGTGCGAGGGTGTGTGTGGCTGACAGGTGAGCAGGTTGGCCCGTTAGACTGGTTTTCCGCTCTCAAATGCGGCCACTAGGTGGCGCCACTAGTGCCAAGCCACAAGGAGGCTTTAAGACCTCTGTACAGGATTGGAAAATTAAAGCTAAACCCTCCATAAAATGATATAAGACTTTCAATACCCATATAGTACCCCTAGTAGCTCACGAACTCTTCTTTAGTCCCCACATAAACAACCGCGAGCAATTGTAAAACGTAAACAAATCATTATCTCAATTCGTCTGTTGTCCGCAACTGTTGATTACCCGTCGAAATGCGTGTGCCACAGTTTCGATTGAGGCAAAAATAAAACCCGAAACGAGCAGCGGTTAAAGAAGAAGACAAATTACAGGTTCAACAATCAATTTAATAATTGAGACCTTTGCATTTAATCAACATTATTTAAAACGTCAAAATATTTGCACTTTCCATGGGCAGTGCCCCCCTGGTATTTGCATATAAATGCTGTAAGTCCCCCGAAAATCCATGGGGAAGCGGGCGCCAGGCCACGCCTCAATCTCAATGCGGGCCCTAGACCTAGACAAAGTCGACGAGAGGTAAAAAAAAGCAGGGAACCCAGAACCCACCCTCTCCCGTCTGTCCCTCTAATGGGAAAATTTATGGTATTGGTGCGGTTTCAGCACCACCACACAGAGACACCACCGAGAAAACCGGTTGCAAACCACCCGATTGGCGACGCTTTGCGAGAGTCGCTGCAAGAGGTTCGGGCCACAGCAGCCGTCCTGCTCCAATGCATGGCGACTAAGGGGCAGCCGTCCTCCTCGCACACTACAGCCACAGAGCGGCAGGGCAGCAGAGCGGCAAAGCGACAGCGCAACGAGTCGAAGTCTCGCGCAACCGCGCCGCGAAAACCTCACCTAGTCGTATACGCACTTTGTTCGTGGGCAGTCGTCGCCGCTGTTGTTGCCGCTGAATTGCCGTCGTTGTTCCGTCGTTGCGCTGTTGCGTTGTTGCGTCGATTGCCGAATGATCCGTCGCGGCTCGATAGTGATTCGACTTGATTTGATTTGAATTGATTGATCCGAATTACGGAATTAAGAATCGTGTTTTACAAAAATATGCACAGCCAGAAATCCAAGTGATAAAAGAAAGCCGAGATAGCGGGCTGCGGAGAAAGCAATTCCGAGAGAGTGCTAACAAGTTGAGTGCCAGTGCTGAGAAAAGTGCCTCCCCGCCAGCAGAAAGGATTTACGCGCTCGAAAGTTAAACCAATTCACAACCGAACTGAACTGAAGTCAAGACTCTGCTACGTGCTATCACACACAGCCCCCAAAACCATCGATAAACTATAGCTGATCATTGCCATCGGATCGCTGCGAAACTTCCCTTCCGCGCGCATCCCCAGAAAGCCGCCAACATTCTTGATAAAGTGGCCTCAATAGGCGCCAACACGCTTAACTTCACGGACCTAGGGAGCCCCTACGAGGGGCCTCCCAGCACCCCCCAGTCCGGCATGGACGCCCCCGACGCGCCCCACACGCCCAAGTACATGGACGGCGGAAACACGGCGGCCAGTGTCACGCCCGGCATCAACATCCCCGGAAAGTCCGCCTTCGTGGAGCTGCAGCAGCACGCCGCCGCCGGGTGAGTGTCTCCAGATCGACTGATCCACCGACCGGGGGAACATCGGAAAGTGCCCGGGAGAATGTGCTGCAAGGCAGAGTCAGTCAGTGGCAGACTTTTACTTTTCCCTACTGATTTGCGGATAATCGCCACACCCGACTGAGAAACAAAGGAGTTGGTTGCCAGGGCGTTCCCCAAACTATATTTCGAATCTTTTTAATAAATCTTAAGACCGACATACGATTAGCTTTTTAAAGTTACAAATAATAAGGTTTTTAATTGCATACAAAAACAGTTAAAGATTTTTTTAATTTTTGGCTCAAAAAAATGTAGCCTGACAGACACTAATACTTTGAATTTGAAGTCCTACGAGACGAACCTTTATTTGTTAAAATATAAAACAGAGTAAGCTGGCTTAAAACTATTAAGTCGAGACTCAATTAGAATCTTCAAAAAAATACTAGGAAACTTATAAACACGTTAAAGACAAGGTTAAATGCATATTCAATTATTTATGGTCTTTTTATAAAACTATATTCAATTTTCATAAAATCAGTACTCTATCAAAAAAATGTTTTACCTAGAACACAGAGAATTTTTTTTTTATTGATGCACCCTCAGCCGACGAACTTCATTAACATTATTAAAATTCGCGTGAGCTTCCCAACTCTACGACGTTTTGGGGATCGATCCCGTGTTGGGGTCTAGCGTTATTATTTTTGATTAAGAAAATCACTTCAGCTGCATTTTCCGGCTTACAGTTCATGCTGGTGCCTGGGCCGGCAAACGGAAGCCAAAAATAAATTCAATTAAGTATAGTTTACTCCCGGTCCGTGTGCTAAATAAAGCGTCTGATCCGGAGGGTTCTGTTTCTGGTTCCGTCGCCACAGTCCATTTCATAGGGGGTAGAAGTCGGGTTCAGCAGTCTTATTTACTGTTACCGCTCACTTGGCGAACTGTTTGCTGCAGCAAATTGTTTTCCCAACGCACGATTCGATTTTTCATTATACATATTTTATTGCATTCTCGGCTTTTGCGGTTTCCCCTCCGCGCTCCGTTGCCCTGTCATTTGTGCGTGTTGGCTCTTGGGCTTGGAATGCTTGGCTGCGCCGGCCCAGCCCTCAGGAGTTGTCTTTTTCCACGTCTTTTCTTCGTCCCTGGAGTCGCTGCCATGTTGTCCGCTATCCGCTGTCCGCCGTCCGTTGTCCGCTGTCCGTTGCGGTTTCTGGTGCTTTGGCCCGCTTCCGTTTCCGTGTTCCAGGGGCCAGGAGAGCATTGAATATTTCATGCAATTCGTTAGGACTGGGCCCGAACATAATGCATGGGAACTTGCTCAACTGTTTCGCCCGCAAAGTGTTAACAAAATATTTACCGCAAGCGAGCGGGACTACAAACGGAACTACAGCCGAAACCGAAACTAAAACAGAGAAACTCTGACATATGTATTGATTTTTCTTTGATATATTAAGCCGCATCAAGTTCGGGCCCTGGTTGGGTTTTGGTTTCGGTTTAGGTTCTGGTTTGTGTAAATGAAGTCATGGCAAAAGTTTCCTGCCTCTGCGCCAGCTTAATTTTTTGTTGTGAGAGAAAAAGTTTTCGTTTCGACGCTTTTTGCATTAAACATGAAACATTTGGGCTCACTTTTTGATATTTTTCTGGCCGCTAGTTCGTCGGCGGCGACGTTTGAATTTAATAGTGAATAGTGAAAAGTGTAGACAAAACACGCAAGGAGGAAAAGTTGTGTCCCCCGGCACGATTCATTCACAGCCCGCGTACTCTATTTCCACTACAGCAGAGCCCCGTATTGATTATTTTCCGTGCATTTGCGGCATTCCAGGTACGGCGGCATTCGGAGCACCTATCAGCATTTCGGACCGCAGGGCGGCCAGGACTCCGGCTTCCCGAGTCCGCGCAGTGCCCTCGGCTACCCGTTCCCGCCCATGCACCAGAACTCCTACTCCGGCTACCACCTGGGCAGCTACGCCCCGCCCTGCGCCAGTCCACCGAAGGATGGTAAGTAGTCCTACTCGTAGTCCTTCTCCTTCTCCATTTCCTATTCCAATTCCTATTCCCACTGCCCCAGAGATCTGCGCACTTCGATTGGGGCCACAGAGCGGGGCTTTTGTTCGAAGCTCGAAGATCTCTTTGGCAGCTTCCTTGTCTATTTTTTGGCGACACTTGAACTCGAGAGCTCAACGATCGTGGAGTGCCATTGTTGTCATCTTTCGCAGCTTTTGTTTGCCCGTTGACTTCAAGTTTGACTTGTCTCAATTGAGCTGGCTTCACCGACCCCTAATGATTTCAGTGTTTTTCACTTTTATTGAGCTTCAATCGGCTATGGAATTACTTGACAATCAGTTTTACTTAAAAATCAATAAACCACGTAAAAAAACATAACTTAATTTTCTTTGAGGTAATCCGTTTATTTAGCCATCAACTCTGTTTTTATGTTCTGCAAGATTTTTATGTTTTAAAACGTCGTTATCACATTTTACTTTTACGGCACCTTCCGTCAAGTAGTTAGTTGTCTTTTTATTAGACAACTTATAAAATATTCGGTTAGCACTTCATTAGGTTTACATATTTATTCACATGAAACTACACTTTGGTGTTTAAAGGTTGTCTTCACTTCATATAATAATTATTTTTTACCGCGCCTTTGGTAATGAAAAAACTGAACCTCATTTAAGTTGCTTTTAGAATATCATTTAAACAACTATATTTTTTTAATAAAGTAAATATGTGAATTTACAGGAATCTCTTATACTCTTATGGCTTCAATACAACTTAACTTTTTACTTAGACTTCTATAAAGTATTAGGTTAATCTTTGCGTCTTATTTAAAACTTTGTTAACATTTAAGGTACTTTTTCTTTTCATAAAATGTATTCTATTGAAGCTGTGGGAAGGCTCTTTGTTGCTCATCCACGTACGTGCAATTTTCCCATTTTATTTATTTTTACATCTCTCCGTTTTGTGTGTTCTTTATGTTTTTTGGTACATTTTTTCCCAGTCTCTGGCATAATTGCGCGCTTGACTGTGACAATTCGTTGTTGCTGCTAATGCGGCTGTCTCTCGTATTTTGTTCAACAATTTTGTTGCTATTTCGATGCGTTTTGGTTGAGCAGTTTCGCTTTTCGGTGAGTGAAAAGCAATTCATTTTATCCATTGTAGACACAGCAGCAGCACGGCAACGACAACGGACGGCAACGCCAACGCTTCATTCAGCCTCGATTTGCTGTCTTTGACTTTCGTCACTCATACGCAACGTGGGCCAATTAACCTTGGTGCACTTGCTCTTGAAACGCGTGCAGTTTAGACCTGGCTAAGAGATCTGCAAAGCAGCTGATCGTTAGAAGGAATCCCCAGATGGCTGCCCAGTTGTTTCTGGCTATAATGGCAGTAATTAGTCTTTCGTTTGGCGTAATTAATTACACCATTCTTTGATGGGCGAATGTGTGGCAATGGCCGGGTGAAATGGCCGAATGGCGACTGGCCAGGAGTCGGCTGACTAATGGGCCACTGGGTGGTCGAGGTGACAGCGAGTGCCGCCATCTCTGTCGCTCTGCGACTTGCCATTTTGTCATTAAGAGTGTGCAGCACGTGCTGCCTGCTCGGGCGCCAAAAAAAAACAGGCGACACCAACACTCGGATGGCAGATACAGAATACAGATATATATATATTTACAGATACATATTCACACACCTGTGGCCATATTTGGCATTTAATAATAGTTTGTTTGGTGACTCCGTGTGTTATTTTCGAACAATTAGCAACGTCAACAGTTGCAGTCGCCGCTCAGTGAACTTGAGTGGTGGCCGATCATCATCATAGTTTTATGAGCCGAGCGGACAACTCCGTCGTGGAGTGCTTTGAACTTTCGTTTCAGCAATTAACGCTAATTCGTTGACATTTACAAGTTACTTAACGAATCGATATCTGGGTAGAGCGGTAGCTTGGCTGCCCGATTTCTAAGCGATGCGGCTGCAATTAATTCAGGTCCATAAATGTAACAGTTTCATGCATTCCAGCTGCCGCGGGAATTTCCTCATAAATATGCATATGGTGCACGGCCACAAAAAAGGGCCATTCGGGCCATAATTCCATAGCCTGATTATAAATTCATCATTGGCCAGTGGCCCGCCATTTACAGCGTCTCAACTGCTCCTTTCATCGCATTGTTTCCCCTCCCTCTCCCCTCTCCCGCAGACTTCTCAATCTCGGACAAATGCGAGGACTCCGGCCTCCGCGTCAACGGCAAGGGCAAGAAGATGCGCAAGCCCCGCACCATCTACAGCTCGCTGCAGCTGCAGCAGCTCAACCGCCGCTTCCAGCGCACCCAATACCTGGCCCTGCCCGAGCGGGCGGAGCTGGCGGCGAGTCTGGGCCTCACGCAAACGCAGGTGAGTTCAATTTCTGGGACTAAACTTCTATTTGGGCCAGAAGTGAGGGGCTTAACTAAAACTACACTAAGTTCCTAAGTAGACAAATTACTGATTTAAGTTGAGTGCTATCGCCAGCCAAGCATATGATTTTAACAAAGTGTATAATCTTAAGTAAACATGACAGAGTTTATCACACTATTTAAAGTGCCTACTTTTGTTGAAAATAATAATCGTTCGTTAAAAATGGATTCATTATTTTTATTCTCTTAAAGGATTCGTAATTCAAATCATTAAACTACAATAGCAGTAAATACTTAAGCAGACAAATTTTTAATTTATGATCATTGTTCTTTAAAATAATTCTTCTAAATCAATTACAAATAAGATACTTCTGTATTAACGTATCAATGAACTTTGAGGAAAGCCTTTTATATACGTTATACGTAATAGTAATAATCAAAAACTAAGATCTTCATTGCGCAATGTCCATGAGGGGAGAATTCCCCTACCGTTCTTCCCCTCACACAACCTATTTAACCCCGCCAGGGATCCTTTGGGCCATTTCCTGCGGTTGGTTAGCATTTTCCCAATTGAATTGTTGACATGTCTCTAATGTTGACTGACAAACGAGCGAAGACAACGGCCGCGGAGTCGTAACAATAGCAACAACGCGAACAACCTCCTACGCCTGTGACCCTCTCACTTGACAACACGCCACTCGGGCGTATGTGCAATATTGTAATGTTCTTTTTGCTGTTCCTCCACGTGTGTCAATGTCAATTTTGTGAAAAGTTTTTCAGTTGCTGTTCGGTTTTTTTTTCCACCGCCAATGCACGCGCTGCTGCCCACGGGCAGGGAGGTTTCCCGAGGCGGGGGCACGGCATTGTCACTGGCAACACCCACCCAAGTCAAGTACTCGTACTCGATGCCCAGCTCGTCTAGTTGCCACTGCTCTATTTAATGGTTTTCCAGATGAGCCGCGACCAGCAGCATTTGCAAAACAGAGCCGTGAATGAGTCTCGTGTTTTGAGAAATTTATTGATAGTGGGCGTGGGCTTCCTAATTGAATTAGTGTGCCACGAAAGTTCATGAGCTCGACGACGGAGGCAGCGGCAGAAACAGAAACAGAAACCGAAACTGCGAGAGGGAGAGCCGCAATAATGTTGTAAAGAAAAACTTGTAAAACAAGTTGAAGACCCTGCGCTGCGAGTGTGTGTTTGTGCCGTGCCTGGCTTCGTATTGGTGGCGTGGGTGTTGCTCCACCGCAAGTTGTTTATCAAGATACATATTTGAATATCCGCGGGGCAGGGCAGGAGGCCAGGAGAACGGGGATGGGTTCTAGAACGGGCGTGCCACACGGCGGCTGTGTAATAAATTCTCCTGGGCCGAAGCCAAAACCAGTCCCATTGTTAGTCACCCAGCAGAATCGGCAGAGGGACCCTGATTTCCCAAAGTCGCGACTGTGGCAGCTGTCAATCGAGGCAGCTAAGCAAATAGCCACGCCCCTGCGCCCCCGGCGATACAATCAATTTGGTCTATCTCGGTTCTCCGACGCCGCAGGCCTTCAAGGGGTTAAACAGTTGGCCAAAAGCCTGAATTTATGACTGCACTTTGGGGTGTACTCGCAGGTCTTGGCCGCTTTCGCTTTCCGCGCGGAAAACTTGGGCCGCGTGTTAATTAAAACCGCCCTCGCCGTTTGAGCAACGGAAGTTTTTTATTGATTTGGCCAGGTTCAGGACCTGGTCTCGGCCTGGTCCGCTGGACAGAGGCTAGTCCCCGGTGCACGCCAATGTTTGGGACGTGCAAACAAACCATTGTGCTTGCCCCAAGATTTATACGTTGCACAAACACCAAGCCAGCTTAATGGCCTTCAGCTTTTAGCCAGGGGGCGGTGGGGGTTATTTTGTGTTTTTTTTGGGGCGTGTTATACAATTCGGTATTTGTGTCTTGAAGTCTTGGAGAGCTGACAGCAACTTGTCCGATCTAACACCTGCCGGCCAGCAGCAGCCACTCTCCACTCTTCACTCTCCACTCTTGCAACGCGAATGCATTAAGCCGCAGTACGAGAACACTTCGGCACTACCGCAAAAAACTGTGGCATACTGCTAGCTGTTTTACAGCTTTTTTTTATAATTATGGTAATTTTATTATGATTTTTTAGCCACTGCTACTGCTGCTGGGTCTTCAGCAGCAAAAACTCGTTTGCCAGTTGCATCTTTCACTCGGCCACTTGCTGTTCGCTCGATTTGAAAGTGCATCCGGTGACTGTTAATGAGCCCGGGCCCAGAGCTCGCAGCCCAGACACACAGCACATGGCCCGTATGTACTAGCATTCGGAAAATAATTAAGTTTCAATTAGAGCAAATCTCGGCTACTGTTTCTCCCGGTCGCGCTCGCTTTTTGCACCCCGACTAATTGAATAATTACATAGAACGCTCAAGTGGATTGCCGAAAGTTTTCGATGCCCGAAAAGCCAAGAACCAGCTGACAGCGCCAGACGAAAGTGTATGTACAGTCCGTGCGAACCCCTTTCAACAGGCTTCGCGGCTCTGATCTTTATTCCCGAAAAACGAACAAAAACCCCGTCAAGCCAAAATGAAATAAAATAATAAAAAATACTTTTAAACTGCGTGTTTATGAGCTCATATCGGCGCATTTTGATCTGGTTCCTCCGCCGAGGCTCTCAAGAAGGGAGACAGCCACAAAAGCCACGAATTTTTTGTAGGAGGCCACGCTGGCTGAAAACAAAGGATTTCGCAGACGAACTGCCAAAACGGCGCTTGTGGGAGCAAAAGATCGAAGAAACTGAGGCTAAGCCAAGGAAAAAATGTTGGTAGAGCTGTTAGTTTCGCACGGGATACTAGTATATTTAGTGGATGTTAGAAAATAAATTTTACATGACTAAGTTTAACTTACCTCCTTCTCAAAATTAATGAAATTTACTTTTTAATTTATCTGAATTACTTAACATTGTTTATTCATGATGGACCCTTAAGCTACTAACTTTTTTCCGTGGGTCTGCGGTTCTGCCCGGGCCTGTCTTCAAAAATCAACAACGCCTGCTTTATGAGTCCGCCCGCGTGAGTGTGTGTGTTGTGTGTGTGCGGTGTGTGGAGTGTTTGAGTGTGTTTTGGGCTGCTGCTGGTGCTGTTGCTGTGGCTGTGTCTGTGGCTCCGCGAATCTCCGCTGCACGCAGAGCAGACTTGGTCTGATGACGACGCAGACGCATCGCCCACGGTGCACACCTTCGCTCGACTGGGGCTTCTCTCCAGAGCTCCAAGCTCCAAGCTCCGAGCTGCGATAAGTCTGCTGCTCCACCCCTAACGTGAGACGTGGCCAATGCTCTGGTATTGCGCAAAGGTCATGGACTCCGCGGAGAAACCCAAAATGATACTTCGCTGGAATTCCAGGCCAAACAAAATACTTGTAACGAAATTAAATTAATTTCCACATCAAATAATACACACAGCAGACGACGGCAGTGGCAAAAAATGCGCGCGTTTTTATTGTATTAAGAAAAAAACTAGCACAACTTGATTTAAATAATACAAGTGTCTAGTTAGTATCAACGGCTAAGCGAGAAAAAATGAAAAACTGGCTGACCGCATTTAAATGCTCAGCTCACGTTCGTTTATGCTGCGGTCAGCGTCGCAGCAGCAGCTACAACAGCAACAACAGCAACACATCGTATATCAGTTCGGTGATTGCCTGATTTACGCGAGCAATGTCAATTAAATTATGGCACATAATACGATGTAACTAAGCAGCCAGCTCGCGTCTTAATCGCACGCATAATGCAGCAACATCGGCGGCGACCCACCAGCAACACCATGATTCCCTGCCTCAATATTTCGAAAATTTTGCACCACCGCTCGCGTAACAGGAACTTTGAATTAAGTTTGATCAATGCTGATGCTGGTACTACTACAGCACAGCCCAGTAGCAGCAGCAACATCAGCAATACGACAGCAGCAACACCACGACCACGACCACGACATACGACAACAAACAAGTTGCCATTAACAATGATGCATGGCTCGGCCGAGCGAGAGATGGAGCAGAGTCAGGCAAACGGGCCCGTTTCTCAATTTCTCACCAGCGGTTCTCCATCTCCCTCCCTCTGCCCGCCCCTTTCTCCGCATCTATCCGTCTTTCTCCGCTGACCGCATTTGCATTTTGAAGAGAGCTCAATCTAACGCCAGTCAAGAGCCAAACGGACGCATGCGGAGACCCGAACGGCGATGGATGTATCTGCGATGAGTGCTTACGTGCGGCTTGTGCAATCTCGATTGCAGTTGACATAATTCACTGTGGCAGGTAGAGATCCGAAACACAAATTGACCCACAAAGCGTGCCAAAAAAGATGATCCGAGCTCACTGAAAGTCGGAGGCCGAGCTGAAATGATTCCTTACATTAGTCTCGTGCCAAAATACAGAAGAAACTTAAAGCAATACGATGAAAGGATGAATGATGAATGATTATGATGATGATCCTCGTGTCACAACTAAGAAATTGGGCAATAAAAGCCTGGATAATAGATATCCTGCCATGATTCCCTGGCCAGCATTTACGGCTTCCTCTGGCCATTAGCATCGGCTCATCAGCCGCATCTACATTAGCTTTCCACCCAGCTGGAGGTCCCCGTGCCGAAAGCAAGTTTCGCGTTTCATTCACAACATTGGCAGCTTTCAAAATGCTCAAACTGGCTCCGGCTCCAGTTGCTGCCCCATCCGTCAGTGCTTCGATCAAAATCGTACGCAACGCTCAGGAAATTACAAAATTCAGAGAGGGGGGCCGAGGGGGCAAGGCCTGTTATTGGCCTGCTCAAGTGAGAGTATTCAAATAAATAAAGTTTTACGACTATTGCGCATAGCTGGAGTGCCGGACATACTATGGCTATCTGGCTATCTGGATATTGGCCAACAATACGAGTGAGGCGGGCTGGGCTAATTACGGTCTCATTTGTTGACACACCGCGCAAAGGTAAACAAGCCTCGGCCAGATACGGAGCCAAGGA